TACTGATGAGGGTCCTCGTTGATGTTGATGGTTGTTTTGATGTGAGTCATGACCAGTTTTTCGAAGCATTTAGCGACTATCGGGGTGAGGGCCACTGGCCGATAGTCATTCAGACCAGTCACTGTAGAGCTTTTTGGGACTGGGATGATGGTGGCAGTCTTCAGGCAGGTGGGAACTGTCTCCAGGGTAAGTGAGGTGTTAAAGATGTCTGCCAGCACCTCACAGAGCTGATCAGCACATTCCTTCAACACTTTTCCGGGGATGTTGTCTGGGCCAGTTGCTTTGTGCGGATTAATCCTCCTGAAGGTACTCCTTACAATAGGACAAGCAGCACAGAATCACCTGCGTCTGTGGATATGAAAATGTCATTAAAAACCTTCAGTAGAGCAGTTTCAGTGCTATGGAGAGATTTGAAGCCAGATTGGAATAACTCAAGGATAGCGTGATCCCCCAAAAACTGTTTCAACTGAGACTCCACAATTTTTTCCAGTAGTTTAGAGGTGAATGGGAGTCTGGAGACAGGCCGGAAGTTGGACATGACTGAGGGGTCAAGGTTAGGTTTTTTCAGGAGGGGCTGGACAGCAGCATGTTTAAAAGTCTTTGGCACCACACCTGAGGATAAACTGCTATTCAGAATAGCGAGGATAAAAGGACCCAGGGTAGGAAAAACTTCCTTTAGCAGTCGAGGGGGGACCACATCAAAGGGGGAACCAGATGGCTTCATGCTGCACATTACCTGCTCCAGAGAGGACAGAGAGATGGGCTCAAAGTGGTCAAACACAGCCACACACTGAGATGGGATGGACAGATCATGAGCTGGTGGAGAAATGAGTGCCCGGGTGTTTGCCACTTTTTCTAAAAAGAAATGGAGGAAGTTCTCACACAGCTCAGTTGAGGCTTCCAGAGGTGAAGGCTCACTGAGGTGTAGAACTGAGTTCAGGGTGGAGAAAGGAAACTCGGGGGTTGTGGGAGTTGGAGACAATTAAATCAGAAAAGAATTTACATTTGGCAGCTTTAACGGTTTTCTGATAGTGACGCCAACTCTCCCTTAACATTTGAAAAGACACCTGGAGCCTGTCCTTCCTCCACTTTCGTTCAGCTTTGCGACACTGCCGCCTAACGGCTCGCGTGACGTCATTCAGCCAAGGCTCTGATCTAAGTTTTGTTTTTCTGGTCTTAAGGGGAGCAACACGGTCCAGAACATCTAAACAGGCAGAGTTGAACTGAGAGGTTAGCTCCTCAGTGGTAAGAGACACCGAGAGCTGTTCGATCCTCTCAGAATTAAAACCTTCATTAAAACGAGCAGCAGTGAAGTGGTTAATGGAACGCGTACGTGCAGGAACGCACGTCTTAGCAGTATGACAAGGGGGGGTGAAGTTAAACAATACAGGCATGTGATCTGAAAAAACATTGTCACCGATTTTCAAATTAGAAACAGAGACATTGCGTGTTAAAACGAGGTCCAGCGTGTGACCATGTTCCTGGGTGGGGCCGCTCACCTGCTGAGCTAAGCCAAAAGAGTCCAGTAAATCCAGAAAGTCCTTCACTAAGGGCTTCTCCTGACAACACACATGCAAATTAAAGTCACCAATAAGCAAAAAGTGAGTGTATCTCTGAGTGATATCAGCCAAAAAGTCAGAGAATTCATTTATGAAGTCCTTAGAACGAGGTGGGCGGTAGATGAGCGCACACAGGACCGGAGGAGAGTGTCCAAGTTCAAAGGCGCTCAGCTCGAAGCTGGCGCGGGACACCGGGATGGACAACTGTTTACACGCAAAGTTTGCTTTAAAAACTGTTAATAATCCCCCCCCGCGCCGACCTGATGGCCGCGGGGCATTGCAACATACACAGTCCGGAGGAAGTAGTCCACCAGGGCGCTGGACTCACCATCAGAAATCCAAGATTCTGTGACGAACAGAAAATCCAACTCCTCATCTTTAAAAAAGTCATTGAGGATAAACGTCTTGTTGGAAACAGACCTTGCGTTGATTAAACACATCCTGATATTGTCCGACGCAGGCACAGCCGTGGATGGAGACGCGCGCGCCAGCGGGCGCAGGTTATGAAGAACAGCTCCTCCTGGTCTGCTGGTGCGGCGCACAGGTAAACAACTCCAGGTGTTTCCATGGACTGAGCGCGCGGGCAGCTGGCCAGCAGCCGGGCCCCGGGAGCACCACGGGTCAGAGAGGAGATGATCAGATCCAGAGCGAGTCCTGTTAGAATAATCCACACTTTGCCTCAGTTTCACCAAAATCCCTGCACGCTTCCCACGACGTCTGCGACGTTTCCTCCATGGAGAAAGGCCAGGGTCACGCAGAAGGAACGCAGGAATCTCAGATAGGACCGGTGGGGGAGAGTGATGGCCGCTGTTCAAAAACTCAGCGGGAATTTCAGCAAAAGTATGGAGCTCCAAAAGTGCCCGACGATCATACTGAAAATATGACTCGGCACACTGCACAAACCATTGTAAAAATAACAAAAATAAAATACAAGCAGAGAGCGAGAGACGGGCAGCCCTACACACCGGCGCCATCTTCAATGGCACGGCAGTCAATGTCAGCCAGGCAGTCAAGCAGAGGTTGAATAGAGCATGTACCATTGTGACTTAGGGGGAAGTAAATTTGACAGTCGTCGGCGTAGAAGTGAAAGGGTATGTTGTGTTTCCGGAAAATAGCACCAAGTGGCAGCCGGTATAGAGAGAATAGGAGGGGACCCAGGATGGACCCCTGCGGAACCCCCCATTTAAGCTCTGTCGCTGCAGAACTAAAATCCTTGATGGAGACACAAAAGGATCGGTCAGTGAGGTAGTATCTGAACCAAATGAAGGCTGACCCTGTGATGCCCACCCACTGCTCTAACCTAGCAATGTCGATCTCATGGTCATTGGTGTCAAAGGTGGCCTTGAGGTCCAATAGGACAAGCAGCACAGAATCACCGGTATCTGTAGATCTGAAGATGTCATTAAAAACCTTCAATAGGGCAGTTTCAGTGCTATGGAGAGGTTTAAAGCCAGATTGGAATAGCTCTAAGATAGCGTGACCCTCCAGGAAGCACTTCAACTGGGACTCGACTATTTTCTCCAGAGGCTGGACAGCAGCATGTTTAAAGGTTTTTGGCACCACGCCAGTGGATAAACTACTGTTTACTATATCAAGAATGAATGGACCTAGAGTAGGAAACACCTCCTTTAGTAATTGAGGGGGGACCACATCAAAGGGGGAACCAGAAGGTTTCAAGCTGCACATGACTTGCTCTAGAGAAGATAGAGTGATGGGTTCAAAATGGTCAAAAGGAGCCACAGATTGAGGTGGGATGGATGGGTCATGAGTTGGAGGGGAAATGAGAGCCCGGGTGGTCGCAATTTTTTCCAAAAAGAAATGTAAGAAGTTGTCGCACAGCTCAGTCGAGGCTTCCAGAGGTGATGGTTCAGTGAGGTGGAGAACAGAGTTTAGGGTGGAGAAGAGGACACGTGGGTTGTGAGAGTTTGAGATGTTTATATCGGAGAAGTATTTGGATTTAGCAGCTTTCACTGCTTTCTGATAACGGCACCAACTCTCTTTTAGTATTTTTTCAAAAGAGACCTGTAGCCTGTCTTTCCTCCATTTGCGCTCCGCCCTCCTGCACTGCTGCCTAATGGCCTTGGTGACGTCACTCAGCCAAGGTTCTGCTCTGAGTTTTGATTTTCTAGTTTTAACAGGAGTGACATAATCCAGAGTCTTTAAGCAGACATAGTTGAACTGGGATAACAGCGCCTCCGTGGTGGTAAGAAACACCGGGGGCTGAATTATCATTTCAGAGTTATAGGCATCTGTGAAACGTGCGGCAGTGAAGTGGTTAATGGCCCGGCTACTACGCAGGAATGCACGGCTTAGGAGTTAGATGGGGGAGGGTGAACTCAAACTGGACTGGCATGTGGTCTGAAAAAACATTATCACCGATTTCAAGATTACTAACAGTCACATCATGAGTTAAAACAAGGTCCAGTGTATGTCCGCGCTCTTGGGTGGGACCGTTTACATGCTGCGTTAGATTAAATGAGTCCAATAATTCTAAAAAGTCCTTAACCAAGGGCTTCTTCTGACAGCACACATGCAAATTAAAGTCCACAATAATGAAAACATGATT